TTTTTACTTTTTTTTTATAACAACATGTTGGATATTTTCTTTACCAATTTGCTTTATATAGCGAATCTTCATTGCCATGTTTTATTTATTTCTTGTAAAATTCAATAAAAAATGTATTTGGAAACAAAATTGCATGCATCTGTGAAATGGCGACAAAGTACAACAGCCCAAATTGTCCATAGGCGATGCTTTAGGAACCCGTACAGGTCGTCGGTTTAGAGATATCTGTGACTAGTGGCCCTAGAATTATTGATCTCATTATGGCACACGGGGTGATACCCAACAAGTGTAGCACAATCATCGTTTTCATACATGGGCACATTACATTAATATGCACGCGCTTGTGAGGGGCTTTTTTTTTCAATTCATCTCCCCGTCGCAGTTGGGGTGATCATGGTTGGCTGCATGTGACCAGAAAGGCTGCCAGCTCACCACCATCCTAAGCCTGCACATTGGTCCCTCCACTCCACACCCTCATGTATTGGGCACCTGGCAATGTGGTCCCCCTGCTGTGCCTGTATGTGGATTCAACACATGCAGGCCAGCCCGTTAACTCAGAGGGTGCCGCCCTGTCCCAGTCGGTATGGCCCCTTTTCCCACACTGCTCTTCTCTGCTGGGAACAAAGGCCATGCTCTAAGCTGTGACTGAGTCAGAATAGAGGGGTGCTTGTTACCAGGGCCAGTCCCAGGATCAAGCAGTTAAATACCTGACTCAGGCCTCTCTGTAGTTTTCCATTTGCCCTGTTAGTCTGCCTGCCTGGTGGTCCTCAGCTTTGGCCAGCTCACACAGGACCACACACCCTCCTTTCTCAGGATCCTGTTCATTTGCTGAAGAGGTTCCACAGACCATCTCCCAGACCACCTCCTAGATTACCATCCCGTACGGACCGCTCTCCTGCTGCAGAGTGACTGGACACCCTAAGTGTGAGTTGTAACCCCATCCTTCAGTACCTTATTGCCTTTTACCCTTTGCTGTCCCTTGTTTGCAGCCCTGAGACCATGGACTCTATCCTTACTGTACCTTATTGCTGTTTACCCTTCACACTCTCTCCTGGCTGTCTACCCGCACTCTCTCCTGGCTGCCTCTCCCCTCACTCTCTCTCTCCTGGCTGCCTCTCCCCTCACTCTCTCTCTCCTATCCTGGTTGTCTCTCCTTGCTCTCTCTCTCATGTCCTAGTTGTCTCTCCTCACGCTCTTCCCTGGCTGTCTCTCCTCACGCTCTTCCCTGGCTGTCTCTCCTCACGCTCTCCCCTGGCTGTCTCTCCTCACGCTCTCCCCTGGCTGTCTCTACTCACGCTCTCCCCTGGCTGTCTCTCAGCACTCTCTGCTCCTCCTCCTGGCTCTCTCTCCTCGCTCATCCTCCTGCCTCTCTCTCCTCGCTCATCCTCCTGCCTCTCTCTCCTCCCTCATCCTCCTGCCTCTCTCTCCTCACTCATCCTCCTGCCTCTCTCTCCTTGCTCATCCTCCTGCCTCTCTCTCCTCGCTCATCCTCCTGCCTGTGTCTCCTCGCTCATCCTCCTGCCTGTCTCTCCTCTCTCATCCTTCTGCCGGTCTCTCCTAGTTCTCTCTTTTGTTTATTTGGAAAAAATTCTGAACGGTGCTACAGTGCTCAGGGCCACTGCTAGTATAAAACGTTTTCTTTAGCTCTTGGCGCTAATGGCTTAGGCAACAATCCTTGCACCGGCCCTGGGCTCCTCCGCTGGATGTCCGCCTCACTCTTCCATCACCGATTACCACAGTTCATTATTAATTATCGTTTGCATTTCGTTTCATTATAGGTGTAAGTGGGGGCCTCACTTTGAGATTCGCCAAAGGCCTCACAAAGTCTTGAGCCGCCTCTAGTGTCAGTGTATTGGAAGCTGCTATAGGGAAAGCTAACAAACTGCATAGGGAAAGATTAAGGTAAGTTAGAAAACTTTACTTTATTCTGATTGCTAGCTCTTTGGGCAAACAACTCATTTGCTGCCCTTTTTGTTATTGTTTTGGACATATTTGTCATTCATTTTATTCTGTGCTTGATTTAAACTCAGTCACTTTTAGCTGCTGCCTGGTCCATGGTTCTTTTATTTTATGTTGAGAAATTTGGAGTACACAATTATTTATGTTGGCAATCTGTTCTGGTAGCTGTCTTTTGTTTGTAGCACACTGCTGTGAAAAAAAACACAAAACTAAGAATAAAATCAATGTGCACCAAATGGGCATCACCCATATTCACTGAGAAAGTTAAGCATACATTCATTAGGCTTATTATCCGTGTTAAAACCATAAAACCAGATATATTTAAATATGTATGTGTGAACCTTAAATGATGATTGATGTTCTATATTTTAATCTATCCAAGTTTGGAGATTCAGTTTTTTACTGTACTGCTGATTCTGAGTTTACAATTGGTAATCAATCAGTAAGCCTGACTGGCAGACCTAAGTATAGTTGAAACAGTTGTTAGGAATGCTCAAGAAGACTTGGCCTTTAAAATGAGTTTGAAGAATAAACCACATTACTCAGGACTATGATGTCCAAAATGGGATAGAAGGAGAACACATGACTCAGCTACTAAAGAGTATGGCACTCCCTTATGCTAATCAGAAAGACTTTTAAAGGTAAACATCACATAGGTTATTTTAAAGTAAAAGCATGGATAAAAGGATGAGGGATGATCCTTCAAGACTCACACACACTCACACTACAGACACACACACACACACACACAGCATCACACAGACACACCCACACTCACATTGAATAGACAGACACCTGTTAGGACTATTTTTACTTACTAACTAAAAGACATGTTTCTTAAGCATCTTATAGATTTCTGCTGTAAGATATACTATATTTTGTAATCATCAAGCATCTTATAGACTCATTCTGTAAGATATACCATATCCTGTAATATTTTGTAACTTTAAATTAAACACATTCTGAACTTTATGCAACAACGGAAACAATCATCTATTATTGAACTTTTCCCTCCCTATGCTTCGAGAAAAGGAATATGACATAAAAAATCATATTTCGTGTCATTTTCTTACAATCCGTAATAATAAATGTTTTGCTGCTGGACAATTTTACACTGCTGAATCATCTACAGTATCTTAATTCTTGTAGCAAAGCCCTAACTGTGCTCTTTTTTTCTTCAAAAATTGTCCTGCTGCTGGACAGTTTTACACTGCTGTACCATCTGCTGTATCCTAATTCTTTAAGTAAACTCCTTATCATAATTTTGGGCCTCAATTTGCTGTTTAAAATTGTTCTGCTGCTGGCCAATTTTCCCCTTCTCTCTCTCTCTCTCTCTCTCTCTCTCTCTACACATTTAATCCCATAGTTAAGTTTAAAAAATTAAAGTCAAATTACACATTTATTTTAAAAAGAGAAAAAAAACACTGAGGGGTTCCCCTTAGTATTCCAACTAAACTCTTTTCCAGGTTTGTAGACTGAGTGGCCAGGAAAGAGGGGCAGTGAGCATGTGCCCCTCCCATTCCTGCACCATATTAGGTCAAATATGCGTTGTTAGTGTATGCAATCACTGAAACTGACCACGAAAACTGTACGGTGCCGCAACACAGCATGCAGATATAAGGCATAACCAAGCAGGGTTTTTAAAGCAAAGTACAGGAATTTAGACTGTGGGAATGCGAAAACTCATTGATACAGACCCTTGTTCTTGTTTCAATGCTTAGTGAATGACCACCCTAGAATAAGCATGCAGCTAGTGAAGTAGAAACTCTCAGACCCACTAAATAGTAGAGCAAGGATAACTAGAACTTACACCTTCAATAAACTGGACAGCAATGGCAATCTTTATATTTATATTTTGACACACTCCCATGACTTCCAAGATGGGAAAGAGGGACAACTTCCAGCACAATATATTTAGACAATGGACATGGCCCTGTCATGCCCCCAGTTAGGTGGAACATTAAGAATGTATATGCCAAAAATCAGAGCCTTTAATTATATAATGAGAAAGCCTGAAGCTGTTGCTTCAGGTGACATCTTTTTGGGTCACATGGGGGGCAGCAGGCAGAGCGGCATTGTCGCTCTGCTGCTCAATGTTTGTAGTGTGCCTGCCACCACCTTTCTGGTCAGGGCATCCCAGGTTGCCAAGAGCCAGGCAGGGAGATGTGTAAGGGCCATGGCAACCTAGGATGCTCTTACCTGCCATCCCCCTAAGCTCTTGGTAACCAGTGACATCACTGGCAGCAAGAAGCTTGGCAGAACGCGAACGCAAGCACGCACACAGGTTGAAAAATTGATTGGTTAAGCCAAGAATTGTTTTTACTTTTTTTTCACCATTACATTGAGAATAGTAAACAAGATAAAAACAGAATAACACTTTTGGCAGTTAAAAAGAACCTTTTTATGGCACCTTTTTTATGGCCATGAGTACATTAAAAAGAGGGACAACTGACCAGGAAAGAGGGTCAGAGTGATTTGGTTCCAAATGAGGGACACTTGGGAAGTATGCACATTCTCTTTAAAAAAGCGTAAACCTCTAAAAGTTTGCAGTAGCATGTAACTCCAAATTCTGCACCATTTGTATCACATGTTTCCTTAATAGCGTAACTGCTGCTACAACTTTAACATCCATTTCTCAAAGGGTTGAATGGCTTTAAAATGAATGACATGGTTATCTACATTGATTAGATAGGCAGGCTTGTATAGCATAACACAAAAAGCATGGTCCAACAAAGATTGCAGCAGCGCTGTAGCACAGTGACCCACATCCCTTGATTTGTTAATTAAAAAAAAAATTGTTTATGCATCCCCTTTGCTGCAAAGAGACTTTATCGCACAGCCTCCTGAACTGTTTACAGGGATTGAAAAATCAAGTTTCACACCTGCCAATTTAACACACAAACCACTAAGCAGCAGGGATCCAAGTTACTGTAATATGCACTTAGCAAGAGCTGCAGAAGGCATGGTCTCCAATATCAAAATCTATTATATATGCACAAACATCTGTTAGACAAGAAAAACATGAAAACCATTTTCAATACCTCAATATCCAGTGGGTCTTTGCTCAGCATGCAAGCCATGTTGCTTCAATTCTGCTCTTGTCTCTGCAACAGCTTTGAGAATGAAACTATATAAAAAAAAATGTTAAGCTATTATTTTAATGTCGACAGGTTTAGCAATAGATCGTATTAAAACTGAAACAACTTCAAGCTCCCAAGCAGTTAATGAGTATAGCAAAGCTGGAGTAACACAGAGGAAGTAGTTCAGAGTAGGCGTGCTCAGGGGAACATGTGACATAGTACGCTGAACACATGAACTTTGTACATCTATCTCTCTGGTCAGGGACAGCTGCTGCCAAGTTTTCGGGGGATGTAATTAAATTAGGCAGAAATATATGTAGCATCCTTTCATATTTATTTTACCTTTTTGATTGCAAAAATGTAAGTACAAACAAATACAGTTATATACATACATATAAATACAGACATACACAAATATATACATATACATACGTAACAAAAATATATAAAAAGCAGCAGTTCCACTTTCTTTCTCTACAGTTTTATTTCTTAGAATAATGTAGGTTATTATTTTGCATTCTCTAAGGGCTCTCTCACTATATTTTGTGACTGGAGTTTTTCAGCAACTGAGCACTGCAGTTCACCCCTCAGGCACGTAGAAAACAATTGTTTTCTATATGCCTCCGCTCACACCACAACATAATTGTAACATGTAACAAGGGTATGTGCTGTGAAAAAGTGCAGACGTCCTGCTTTTTTTCGCAGTGCACTAGACCACACTACGGTCAATGCACCTGGTTGCTATCTGGTGACTTAAATGGAGTGTACAATTTGTAGACTCCAAATAAAGTTAAAGAGTAACTCCACAGTAAAAGAAATGTAAATCAAAAACATTCAAAAAATGAATATAGCACATATACAGCCTGCCCCCAAAAATAGTCACCACCTGGATTTAGCTAAGCAAACAGGTTTCATTGAATAATTACTGCAATAATTAATATGTTTTATCTGGTGAGTTATTTAACCCTAACTGAAGCAGTGAGTAGCTCCTTATTTCTTAAACAACCACGTCAGAAGAGATATCCTGTGGTCGTGGAAAAGATTTAACTGTTTCAGATGGGTCAAATTATTGGCCTGCATCAAGGAGGCTCTGCTTCAGAGTGATAGTCACATCAGGGTAAAGGTGGCCATACACTGTACAACCATCGCAAGACCTTAGTCTTGCGATGGTTGTAAAGTGATTAATAAAACGTACGATCTGCCCATCTTGGACAGGCAGATCGTACTCACGATCATCACAAGCCCGCCCCTCTGAGGGGCGGCCGTACGATGACTGCAATGAGGGTCGGGCTTACGATGACTGCAAACGGGCTGTGTGTGCGTTCGAATCGTATGATTCCCGGCGGGGTTTTTAGCATGCTGGTTCGACGGAAGACATGCGACCGTACTGTAGAAACGGTAGCACGCCTTCCATACACTGCACAATTCTCGTACGATCGCGGGATTTCCTGCGATTCTCGTACGAGAATCGTGCAGTGTATGGGCACCTTAAGAAGAGAGTAGTGATGGCCGAACAGGCCGGAGTTCGGTTTGAATTTGAACTTTAGAACATCCAAAAGGTTTTGTCCCCTTAAACTGCCTGTGAAGTGGCAGATCTGTACGATGTATAGAACCTGCTGCAGCAAAAAGTGACATTTAAAAAGAAAAAATGACATTTCAATTGCCGGTAATTGGTTTTCTTTTAATCTTTTAAACAACTGCTTGGGGGGCAGCCTGTATGAAGAGGCCACATTTAAGGACACTCGGAAGAAGGTTAGCGATTTTTTTGGATACATTCTGGTGCCTCTTTTGCAGACGTTGGATGAAAGTAACAACAGGTGCTTTAAAATTGGGCCTTTGGTGTAGGAGGTGCCTTCACACTGTGTCACAGTTCCTTGTAGCTTGATCCAGTGCCGGGTTTTGCCTCCTGTCCGAGCTGCTCAGTTTCCTGTCAATCCGCCCCGGAACCTAGGTGTTAAAAGGCTTGCGCACCTGTGCTTTAGCGTTAGAGCAACGTGTCTCCATGCTAGTGTTTGAGTATACCTTGTATTTTGTGTCTTTGCTGGCTCTTGTTGTTTTCAGTGTTCCCTTCCTGCTGTGTCTACCTCTTTGGTTTGCTGTGGCTATGAGTTTTCTCCACAACATCATTTTCTGCTCTGTTTTGTATTTGTCTCCTGCTTCCTATGATTATTTTGCTCTGCACTATTGTGCACCTTCCTCCTTTTCTCCTGTGCATTCCCCCTGCTGCTCCTGTGTATCTCTTGTCTCTGTGGTACACCTGCTGTGTGTTCCCTTTTGTTACCTGCTCCCTGTGTCATGCATGTTCCCTGCATCTTCCCTCTAGTGCTTGTTTTCCCCCCTATGTCTTGTCCAGTGTGCTGTGGTCCTGGTCCCTGAGTACCCAAACATTGGGCCTTTAGTGGCGGCAAGTGCCTTCACACCCTAACCCTTCAAAGTTAATCTTGAGTGCTGGATTGGACCCTGCTGTAAAAAATTATAATGATATCCACCTGTCACATGCTGGTGCAGACAAATTGGGCCTTAGTCGTTGGTGGTGCACTACAACAAGAAAATGACTTGAAGATGGAATAATCACCAACAAAGTTAGGCAGCCTAGGCCAGTGGTGGCGAACCTTGGCACTCCAGCTGTGCCAAAACTACAAATCCCAACATGCATCTGCCCCTGTGAGTTATGTCTGTGGCTGTCAGAGCCTTGCAATGCCTCATGGGACTTGTAGTTCCAGAACGGCTGGAGTACCAAAGTTCGCCACCACTGGCATAGGCAGTCTTCCAGAGATCCAGAATCCCTGACAAATTCATTCTAGGACATCTGCATCAGGGGATTGATAGCTGCTGCTGATACAGGACTGATTCATTTTGATAAATGTCAGTCGGTCAACGGAGTCTGTGGACAGACACACTCTTTTATCTGTCACAAAACCTCCAGCAGCACTGAACATCCTTTCGTAAAGAACGCTGGATGCAGGGCAGCCCAGTAGCTCCATGGCATATTGGCTAAGTTCTGGCCAGTGAACCATTCTCAAAACCCAGTAAGCCAGTGGATCATCTGCTAGAAAGCTCTCCAGGTCTGCTCTTGCCTGGGTAATCCTGCACCATATGATGCAGACGCTGCCGATGGGTGCCTAAACTAAGCATCCCTGGGCACTGAGAACTGAAAACATTGCTAACATTTCTAAAGGCATCAGTCAGGCGGCTCCCTTCTCTAATGCTCTTCCTTTGACCAACCCGAAGCCTCAGAATGTAACGCCCAGTGCCAGCACAGGTTAAGGGTAGGATCTCAACTGCGGAGCTAGGTGGTGTGACCCACAATTAGAGGGAATAACGGCTATTCAGGCTCGAACCTCTGGCGTCACTCACAAACTAACGGTGAGTTAGAGGCTCTTGCATCATACACCGTGTGAAAACAAAGGGTTTTTAGCAGTGTTATTACTTCATAAGCAACCGCTGCGTTGGTGAACTGATATAGGATCTCAAAAAGGTAAGTGTGTGATAGGAACGCTAGTTCATATAACAGGATCACAGGCAACACTATTTGTGAACTGGTATCAACTTCAGATCAGCAATATCTTAGTATAAATTCAGAATAGCAATAGCTCAGTACAAACTTCAGATCAGCAATATCTTAGTATAACTTCAGATCAGCAAAGTCTCAGTATAACTTCATTGAGCAAAACACATCATGAATCTGGATTAGCATGAGAAGTTCTGCAACCACAGAGGCAGGGTACTTGCGGATTATCAGAAGAGGGGTTGTGCTGACAGTCCTCAGGCAAATCCACGTTTCCTTTAGGGGGCCCCAGTGGAGATGGTCAGGCGGCCTAGAAGGGGTCCTGGGTTCCAGGGAGCAGCCTCACTGTAGGTAGTAGCAGGGCGTTCGATCCTCATTAGTGGAACGCCCTACTACGATTGAGGAAGGATTTAAATAGCCCGTAAGTGCGGGAAAAACGGCAAGCGGTCGCTTCCACGTTCCACGCTGGGGCGCATCGGCCGGCTTCCTATTGAAGGGGCGTGACTACGGCCTCTTACTTCCTGGTGCGTTCCACAGTGGAATGCACCCGAGCCACTCTCGTCCCTCCCCTGAACTCCTTACACAGAAGCACCTCTTTCATCACTTGGTAACCTACCAGTGTCTGGAAAGGTGTTACACAAGTGTCTCTTAAAAGCGTCCTCAAGTTGTTTCGTTCTGTGCTCCCTCTGTGAGGGCAGGATGATCTCTGCAACTTTATGCTTGTGAATCAAGAAGGGTTGCCAACCAGTAATGATCCCTCTCCTTGATACCACGAATCCTGGGGTTGTTTCTCAGGCTTTGCAGGATAAGGCAGCCCATGAACCGTAAGTTTTGAGTAGGCATGAGATTCCAAGTCTTCAGCGCCACTGAGGATGACACTATCGTCCACTACCTCCTCCCAGCCACGTATTACTCCTTTGGTTTCTGGGGACAGAAACCCCTCCCTGGAAGACTGCCTTATGTCTTCCTCTGCTTCAATGCCCCCACTGCTGACATCATCCACCTCGTCCTCTTCTTGTGTGATCTGCGGATCCGCAGGAATGGTTTCTGCGTACAGGGTGCCTTGTGAGGTAAGGAAGTCCTCCTCTTCCTCCCGCTGTTCTGCCTTAAGTGCCCTATCCATAATTCCCCGCAGAGTATGCTCCAGCAGGAACACAAGAGGGATAGTGTCACTGATGCGTGCATTGTCCTGGCTCATCATCCTCGTTGCCTCCTCAAATGGTGACACTACAGTGCATGCATCCTTTATCAGCAGCCACTGACGTGGCGAAAAAAAGCTGAGGTCCCCTGAGCCTGTCCTTGTGTCATACTCACACAGGTACTCGTTGATGGCCCTCTTCTGCTTGTGCAGCCGCTGGTGGGTATGTCACAAATCAGACGGTTTGTGGGCAGGTGGAATTCACGTTGAATTTCAGCCAGACGAACACTGGCTGGGAATGAGCACCTGAAATGGCTGCAAACTTTTCTGGTCTGCCTCAGAAGATCTTGCAGCCCTGGGTACCTGGTAACGAAATGCTGTACCACCAAATTGAGGACGTGTGCCAAGCATGGTACATGAGTCCACTTTCCCATGCATAGGGTGGAGAGAAGGTTGCTGCCATTGTCGCATACAACCATTCCCGGCTCAAGCTGCCATGATT